GGCATGGAGTGTGCGCTGTGCAGATCCCTGCTGTAAATAGAAAGAAGGTGCTTATCTCATGTTGCATTCGCTGTAACTGGGTTACTTTGATGAGTGACCTTGCCATGCTCAATACAGTAAACATAAAGACAACATGATATTTCAGAGTTTGACTTTGTTTAGCTATTATATAGAATATAGTACATTTACTAGGTGTTATGTAGGCTATTCATTATTTATGCAACCAACTAGAATAGATATATTTCCTTCAAAGGTGTGTACAGATTATTTTATTGACCGTGTGATCTATATGTATGAGTGATGTTATCAGTCTTCTATTGGGTCCAAGTGCTAAAGAGCATAAAAACAAGAGTAACTTCATTTTCCTGCCTTAAGGCCCTTTTAGTGACTCATATTCTCGTGTTGACTCTTCTTTGGACTGTAAATCTTAAGAACATGGTGGGTTGAGTTGATGCAGGACTATCATGTAAACATACCAAAGGTGGAAAATTAAAGATGTTCATGAAATGTGGAGGTTTGTAAGTGTTGTTTGTTTGTGAATATTTTCTTTAGCAGTGTAACAACTTTGTTCCCCATTTAAATATGACTGTGCATCCAAACAGGACTTGAGGCCCAGATGGACTGCCCTGGAGTCTCTGCTGTGTGGTGCATTTGCTGGAGCTGTGGCTAAAACCGCCATTGCACCTCTGGATAGGACTAAAATCATTTTTCAAGGTTAGAACAATATATTGCAAGTTTTCTTCTATAATAATCTTAGTAAACATGACTATTATGTAAAAAAAACAAAAAAAACAACTGTGTTTGTGCCGCAGTTACTGAGCAGCTAATAGCTAATCTTCTTAGTAGATGTTTAGCACCATGGAAATAAGTTGTTAACACTGAAATTTACTGAGGTTTCTTGTTGTTTTTCCAGTGTCTTCAAAGAGATTCTCAGCTAAGGTGAGTTTAAGCCTGTGTCCTATTATATAGGAAATGTGTAAATGATTTGCAATTTGTTGTCATTACAAATAAAAACATTCTAGTTAAATGTGTATTTCAAATAGTTATTAATTCAGATATTGTTATTTTGTTAGAGTAAAGAAATAAATCTTAATATTTTTAATGGAATGTCCTGGCCTGAATCATAATTGCAGAATAAAATATTAGAACATATTACAAGCAAGTAGACTACAATGGTTACACTCTTTTAAACTTTTAGAAAACTTAAAAATTTTGAAAAAGTGTGAGAAATTACCGTTTCCAAACAAGTTTTTTGTGAACACCAGGAGGCGTTGCGACTCCTCTACTGTACTTACATGAAGGATGGGTTCCTCAGTCTTTGGAGAGGAAACTCTGCCACAATGGTGCGGGTCATGCCCTATGCTGCCATCCAGTTCTGCTCACATGAACAGTATAAAAGACTTTTGGGCAGCTACTGTGGCTTGCAGGGCAAGTGAGTCAATGTTTTTTATGTTTTTATATTAATTCAATCTACAATCTATAATCCATAATAGACATAAAATATGACCTTATGTATTTTGTTTTAGAGCACTTCCACCTTTTCCTCGCTTCTTAGCTGGCTCTCTTGCCGGCACCACTGCTGCTATGCTCACCTACCCTCTGGACCTGGTGCGTGCTAGGATGGCAGTCACAGCTAAAGAAATGTAAGTAGTAAGACAAGGGAACAGTACATATGATAAAGTGATATGGTCACTTCTAATTCTATTTTTTATATTACAGGTACAGCAACATTCTTCATGTTTTTGTTCGAATATCTCAAGAAGAAGGTGTCAGAACGCTTTATAGAGGCTTCTCTCCCACAATCCTTGGTGTGATCCCGTATGCTGGAATTACATTTTTCACTTATGAAACCCTAAAAAAACTACACACAGGTACAATAATTTGTTTGGAATTGGGCACGTTATGATATACATTTTGAACAAACAAAACTATGTACTGTTTTTCCCCACTACAGAAAAGACCAGACGATCACAGCCATATCCACATGAGCGGTTGGCCTTTGGTGCATGTGCAGGCTTGATTGGTCAGTCGGCCTCATATCCACTGGACATAGTGCGACGCCGTATGCAGACAGCAGGGGTCACTGGATCATCCTATTGCACCATACTTGGGACAATGAGAGCAATAGTAACAAGTGAAGGAGTGGTACGTGGACTTTATAAAGGCCTGAGCATGAACTGGGTGAAAGGACCTATTGCAGTGGGGATTAGTTTCACCACCTTTGACATAATGCACAACCTCATGTTCAAGATGCATCAGATGGGCTTCTTCACACCTTGAATCTTAGCAAAAACTACAGATGCGACTCACACAATGATGCCGAAGTCTCCTGTACTTATGACATGAGGCTGCTCTGCCACGTACTCCTCTGTATGGATGGACTTGTAGCCAGAGGTCTGTTGGAGCTGTTCAGGCTGGATAAACGCACATGTAAGATTCACTTTCTTTTGAGTGAGATCTTACTCAGAAGTGGCTTTAAGTGACTGTATTCACTTTCAAAATCAGGGTATAGATATAAGTGCAAATATGGTGGATGGATTTGAAATGATCTGTTTTATGTGTTATGTGCATTAGATTGTTTGCACTTACGTATTTCAATTACTCCCATGTCAACTGAGAGATCTTTTGGCAAATCTTTTGTGGAATGTAAGAAATTTGTTTTTATGTGAGATTATGTTCTATATGTTTAAAAAAGAATTATGATTTGTATTGCAAAAATTGTTTTGCAAGAGTATAACAGAATGTAAGGATTGACTGAAGGAGAAAGATGTCTAAAGGCCCACACAATTTCACTATTCACTACATCTGTGCTTGAGTGTGTGAGGAAATCAAGAGGACGTAGTATTAATACACCTAATCAGTTGTACTTACTAGTATATGTTTACAAAAATATACCAAAGTACTTATCAATGCAATGCACAAAATGATATTATTTGTAAATAATGTTTATTGGTTTGACACACTTCAACCACTCTAAAAAAAAATATGGACTTTGTTCTGTACGCTCAGCTGACCTTGCAATAAAGTCAGTGTTCATAAAAATATGTGCAGGATCCTTTTGTCCACTAGAGAGCGCTATCTGATAAAAATAATAATAAGACTGCTGCGCCCTTCATTGTTTACGTAAAAGACGGTAAGAAAACGCAAAGTTTCACCAGTTTAATAGCATATAGCCTTTTAAGTGAAAATTTGTATTGTATATATATATATATATATATATATATATATATATATATATATATATATATATATATATATATATATATATATATAATAAAGAGAAACTCAGCCTTGATAATACTGCTGAATATAGGCTCTAATATTTTAAGCATTTATTGTAACCAGTATATATTTTGTATATAACTACATAAGTTGGATGCATACAAGCTGTCGTTGCATGAATAGTACAGAACAATATCTACTGTAAAACAGTTCACCATAAATCGTCTTGATTCCACCTCCACCAATCGTCCAGTAAGCGGCAGCAGAGCGCGCTGTTGGCTCTGGTTGAGTCTGATGAGCGCATGGCCTGAACTTGACCCGTCCTCTCATCCGAAAATGATCATTGCATTGACTCACGCCTTAGATATTCTGTAATTTATTCAGTTTTCGTAAACACGTTGAATTGTTTTAAAAACGTTTCTGGTTCTTCTTGTAAAAGAAAACCAGACGGATAATTTAAAAAAAAAAAAGGGGAGTGGGCAAATCAAATTGCAAAGCCAAGCCAAAATCTGGCTAATGGTTTTTTGTTTGTTTGTTTTTTGTTTTGTTTTTGTTTTTTCATTTGCTTGTTTGTTTAGTTTTTAGTTTAGTTTAGTTTTTTTTTTTTTTTTTTCATTAATAGTAATGTATCATTTGTAAGAATGCTTGTTCACTACCATGCCAAATAATTTGGACTTAATGAAATATTGTGTTTTTAAAAAGTCTATGTTATGTAATACACAAGAACAAGGAATACATTATACACTTAAATAATAATAACTAATGACTAATTATATTTTATTTAAGAAGGCAGAATTTAAAAGAGCAGTTAGATTTGTTTGGACCATGTTATAAGTAAAAACATGGTACCAATGCAATTCATTCATTAGAAATAAGTGTGTTCTTGTCTTTTATGGGTGGTTCCTTTTCAGAGCTGCTTATGTGTGTGTGTCATTGCAGTGTGCATGAATGTAAAGGCCCATCTGCCTGTCCTCCATCTCACCAGCTCTTGTCCTCATCGGCCATGACCTTGACTGTGAATTATGGGATAACCTGCCACCCTCTTGCCTGCATCCATGGCGGCTGGTACTGCAACCCTCGGCACAATACCTCGAGCTGGATCACACTTTCAGAGGGTGGGCGCTTGCTCCAAACAAGAGGAGGAGGGGTTATGGAAAAGATGCTGCTTGGAGGCGCCGTTGCCATAGGTAACCTGGATGTGTGCCAGGAAGAAAAGGGGGCCATTTGCATGTATTCAAATCCAGCATGAATAATTCACTTTGAAGCTGCTGCAGGCCTGGGACAGACAATAACGTTCACACACTCGGCAAATGGGGAAAAATACTAAAATATTGGCTTCCAGTGCCGCATAAACCAGACCAAATAGCGTGAGAAAGGTGATGAGGTTAGACCAGGAAGAAAGGATTTGTCACTACTGAGACAGTGGATCACACCAATGTGTTACTATGTTTTTGCTTTTAATCTCCATTATGATAAATCAGTAAAACAGGAACAGCCTCTTGGAATGACCAGGAACTAATCCACTCGAAGTAAAACTCAAACCAGGGACACAATAATTTCATGAAAGGCAATCACATGAAAAGAAGCACTAAAATCTAGTGTGACATTAGGACCAATAAAAGATTATTAGTCTATACAAATTACAACTATACCTTTGGTGTATATACTTTCCATGTCATTTCACAGAGACAGTGAGACAAACTAAGCTGGTAAAAAGATAGAAGATGACCCCTCTTTTCAAGATGGGAATCAACGCAGCAAACAGGTGACCACATCTTAGTTTGATGAAGCTGGGTGATGGTGTTTGACAATTAAACAAATACATAAATAGTATAAATCTGCACAAGCAACTTCTCCCAGAGGCCACCACCATGCAGTGCCAACATGGCAGCAGTCCAGCACTTCTTCAGGCTTAAAGTGCCGGCTTTCATAAATTCAGACACATTAAAAACGCCTTGAGAGATGTTATTCCCAACATAAATTGTCCTGTAAACACTCCCCATAAAAAGCACCTTTTAAAGAAGCCTGGAAATGACTGAAAAATATCAAATCTGTCCAGTGTGACTGTAAAATCCTGCTATCATCTTCCCTGTGTAAGCATCCTGATATTTACAAGTGCTATGGATGTCATCCGCATTCACTCGCTCCTCCATTGCTCCAGTCTTGTTAATTTTATAAGATCCAGCGTATTGCCACTTATCGGCTGGCAGCGTTGTAAAAGCTCTGAGGTCAGTGCATTACGGAGCTGCTGGGCCCCTCTCTTCCATTAGAGGGAGTGTGCAGCCTGCTCTGGCCTTCACTCAATCACAGCCCACACACACATGTAAAACTGGAGACTATAGTGTAACTAAATGTGAACACATACATCTATAAAGGCATATGTGCTTAGTACCCCTCTTCCAACCTGCAGGGTAAAGACACTTTCATTTGCATTAAGAGTTTTGCATTTAAAGAGAAGGTATCTGTGTATGTATATATGCCTGACATTTCCAACACTTGGCATTTCAATGGCACTAAATGAGTTGTAGCTTCCTGAAAGCCGCATCACAAGGGACACGTAAGAAGTAAATTAAAAAAATAAAAATAAAAAAATCATACTGGGCAGGGGAAAATATAGAGATTGACAAAATTTAAATGCAAATATAAATTGCATTTGTGGCACATAGAGACAAAATTTGGTAAAATATGTTTGCAGAAAATTACATCAGGTTGATGCCACTGTGTAACCTAGCACTTCCCAGGTCATGAAAAGTTGAAGTGTTCTTGTTGACAGGGTAAGGGCGTGCTATTCTCTCATATGATATGCAACAGTGCAGAAAAGTTTTACCACAACTTTAAGATTTAATACTTCATATGATGACACACATTTGAAATCTGGGAAATATGAATTTTGCAGGTGCATTCAAAATTGAGATGTCTGCAGTGGGTCTCTTTTGTAATCTGCTTGTGTGTTTCCACTGTTAAATGAAAAAAAAAAAAATACAATACAATACAAATTTGAATACATTAATGTAAAGGTGTTATAGTGTCAATTATTAGATTAAAAGTAGACAATAATGATAATATTAATTTCCTAAATTATAATTTTAAAGATTTTTTAATAAATCATAAACCTATAGCAGAGCTATTTTAATGGTGGCAATAACACTGATTACCTATCGTACATCAATTACATTGATTACCTATTGCACATACAAATACATATTATTTGATTTTATTCAGTCGACCATACCACTGTGAGAATGCTCAATCTTGTCTGATCTTGGGAGCTGAGCAGGGATGGGCCTGGTTAGAACAGGATGGGAGACCGTTGAGGGGGAGCAGCAGAAATTTAAGGGTACATTGTGCCCTTGAGCAAGACACTTCACCCGCCTTGCCTTCAGTGCCCGTGTATTCAGTGTCCATTCCAAATTGATAGAAAAACAATTTTTAAGGTTTTTTTTTAAATAATTAAATTACATTATTTAAAAAAAAAAAAAAAAAAAGCTTATACAGTTAGGGCACGGTGGATAACAGACACAAAGATGTCTAATTTTACTAATAATAATAGTAATACTAATAATAATCCAGAAAAATTCTTAGATTTTTACATCACTCGAACTAGATCCACCTTACCTTTCCTTTCTTGGTTGGTTTGTCCTGATTTTAACCATGTCCCTATGAGGGGTGTGGGAGTGCAGTGGGCGGAAGGCCCCCATAGACTTTGCATGAGAATAGACAGGGTCCTGTGAACCTTCTGCTCCCTCAGTCCACATTCAATGCCATGGCTGCAGTTAGCATGACAGACTAAAAGCTCCAAGTTCTTCTAGTTTTTAAGAATTCTAGTTCCACCCACTCATGTTATGGTGCTATGCTAGTCTAACCCCTCCCTACCCCTCTGTGTGTACTGAGGTCAGTGATTCTAGTTTTATTATGCATCTATATAGGTCCTGTCAAGTTCAAGCCAAACATCCACCCACTCAAAGAACATAAAGACAAAAACAGTTATGTAGGGCTTTTTATGATTATTTTTATTCAGCCAAATCAAAACAAAATCACAAATAAGCATTGTTTCCAAATACTGCATTCGAACTTGACTTTGAATTGAGAACTTCAACTGGATTAGTCCAAAATATAGCAAGTGTTACATTATAAATATGGACACAATCACTGAGGTCTGATCACACATTTAATTTAATTTGTGGAATGACTAATCACAGATAATGAATAGAGTTGACCTCATGATCATTGATGGAACAAAATGTGTCAATCCTATATCAAGTATAAGTAATACATCTGCTAAAATCTGACTAAACAACAAACCTTTATTTAAATTATTTTTACATAACAGAGACCACATGCAAATTAATGAACATTCATCATTACAGTATTAATACAGATATGGATACTACAGTATCCATATCTGTCTTGAAATAATTTAATTTAAGTTGTCTTTTTCTGCAATGAAAACGCCTATGCTATAGCTTTATTTAACATTGGAAGGATTTACTTATTTGACTGGTTATTAATTCTCAATACATATACATTATACTAGCTAGAATTTAATCAGAAATACAACTGATATTACCATCACCATTTTTCTGCACCGTACCACATATTTGATTTAAAATAATATATTTTATGCATAGACACACCACAATTATGCATTCTCATATACTGTACAAGTGTGACCATTACAACTTCTGTAGTGTCCTCCAGTCTGACTTATTTAAAACCAGATGGCTTCTATAAATTGTCCCCAGCTGAAATGAATATAAAATTGCTTCACCCATGGCCGTGCCTAATTTTTATGGACACTTTCCTACTATGTTTTAACACAGTGGTGGCAT